TTCCTGTCCCAAGGGACGCGCCTGTCTGCCACGCGGTCTCCCTCCTACCCTCTGGGCTCAGAGGTCTGGCAAACTTTCCTGCCCAAATCCCTGGGTTTTTTTTACCTTTCCAGGGGAGTTCTGCCCTTCCCGGCTGCAAACCGTCTCACCAGCTGAGCAATTTCGCCAATTCGGGTGGGTGTTATTAGTTTCAGCTGCTCACTCCATTTGCTCCAGGACAGGACCTGGGACGCGTCTGCCTATATCGCCGCCATCTTCCGACTCCTCATAGTTTATGTTTTAATGCCATTTTTCTTCTTTTAATGGTTACCAAAGACACTTTAACATGCATACTTAAACAAAGTCAAAATTAATATCTTTAACTTTATGAACAAAACAAGGACCTTTGACACATGAACTGTTATCACCCCCCCAGACTTCTACTGTTGTCATATTTTAGCTATCACTTTTTTTAACCCACAAATTTGATATTGTTTCATGTGGCTAACATTTGTTTAATTTACTCACCTGTTTGCTTCTTACTTTTTTTATTCACTGTTCCTTACATCTGAGGCCTTCCTTGTGGGGTCATTTTTCTTCACTCTGAAGCACATATTCTACTACAGGAAACAGTCTATTAATAAACTTTTTGTAAAGAACCAGATAGTAAATACTTTAGGCTCTTACAATTAGGTATAGCTCACAGTTCAATGTTTAATATTAGAAGTTGTTTGGGTCTTTAGAAGTTTGGTGATGTTTTGGTAACCAGAAATATGCTATAAGAACTTAACTCTTGTTTATATTAACTAGCTTCTAGAAAAAACTGTTTTTGTTATACATCATTTTGCCCAAAGTCAGGAACCTATCAATTACATTAAATGAGGATTCACTGTACATAGTTTCCTGGTAAATTCTTTATTATCACAAAATGGAGTATTACAATGTTTGTTCTCATAACTTATTATAACATTGACTGTGTTTGCTTAGGAGGAAGAAGCAGACATTGAAGGCCTTCAGTATAAAACACTACAAACAATTCACCATGGAATCAGAGTTGGTGGCATAGCTTGGAGCCCAGAGACTAGACTTGATTCACTTCCTCCAGTAATCAAGTAAGTTAAAAATTATTATTAAGTGCAATATTTATTAATGTCCTTTGTGTTAACTGATCTGAAGCCTTTGATCATTAAGGATTTTTTCCCTCTATTTCCATTTTCTCTAGCTCTAAATAGTAGATATTTTAACATTTGCTATTATTTCATAATTTAGGCTTATTGTCTGAATTTGTGGTTTAAATATGTAGTCATAGCAATGATGGCTGAGTACATGGCTGGGCCTACGACAAAGCTCTGTACCTGAGATTCGTCTGAATCATTTTGTCTTCACAGATTCTTCACGAAGTTTACCACTTATTGAAAGTATAAGTCCCATAAAAGAACTAAATTTGATTGAGTCATTATTCAACCTTACTGCCCTATACATAGCCCAAGGTCACATTTTTATGTTTAACAATACATAAAATTAATCTAATCTTTGCACTTCAGTTTTTGTGAAGTCATTTGAAAAGAATAATTGCTTTTTGAGAAAAACCATAACACTGCCTGCTAAGACCTTCTTCATAAGGGCCATAATATGTCAGAGTATTTAAGGTTTGTTACAAAACACTAACCTTGCTTCCACAAATACCACGGCTAAAAGATATGTCTTCTTTTAGTAAACAGTATCTAGCCATCCACAAGTTAGCGTTTACTGAGCTAACCTAATTTTTTAAAATTAAGAGATAATGTACATACAGGGAAGCTCTCAACTCTAAAGGGTACAGTTTCATCAGTGTTGACAAATCTAGACACTTGTATAACCCACTTATAAATATTCTGCAATTTATATGCATTCTCCTATAAGTGGAAATCAGTTTGCAGTTTGAGCTATTATGACTAAAGCTGCTATGAGCATCTCTGTATACAGATTTATTGTATAAATAGCTTCATAGGGGTAGAATTACTGACTCAGAGGGGAGATGTGTTTTTAACATTTTAAGAAAGTACCAGTTTCCATTATGGTTCTATCATTTTATGTTCCCACCAATAATCTAAGGATGTTCAATTGCTCTACCTACTCTCCAGCAGTTATTGTTGGCAATCTTTAATTTTAACATTCTGGTTGGTACCACTATGACATTTCCTGATGACTAATGATGTTGAGCACTTTTCAGTGTGCATTCTATTTCCTGCCTTCAGGATCTTCACCTACAACAAGATTGTGAACATGTTCTGTGATTTGTTCTAGAAGCTTTTACAGGTGTTAGCTGCCTGAATTTTGAATAATCTACATAACAGTTCTTGTCAACATACATATGTCATTGTTAATAGCCAACGTGCTGTTCATTTCCTTTTATATTAAAAGGAAATGTTCAGAGCCTGGAGCTACAAAAAAAAAAGTCAGTCATTAGTCTCTCTGCATTCCGGAAGAGATTTCGAAAGCTATAGAAACCATCTCCTTCTCGTGGTTTTGTTTTGTACCTGCTCTCCTGTCCTTTTTTTAATGGATTTGCTGTATTGTTTCATCTTTTTTGTTGTTGTTGCTTTTTTATTAGCTGCCTCAAAGCTACTTTGGATCTGTAGCAATATAAATTATAAATTCAAAATATTAACCAGCCATTAATTTTAAAAACAATATTTTTAGAGCAAGCTGACAGCACAGTTTTGTTTTCAAGTAAATTAAGTATTTTTATTATAAAAATAATACACACTTACTATATCAAGTTTAGAATATACAAAAACTTTTAGATGCCAGCTATACACCTAATACTTTTTCCATTTTTGTTGGTAAATTTATACAATTCTAATTAAACTGTATATATAAGTTTTTATACTTTTTATTTTCCTTTACATTTGTTTCATGGCATTTCACAATATGTAGTCTTTTTTCATGACTAAATAGTAGTCTATCAAGATGACTGAGGTATAACTTTATATTTCTCTTATCATCATTAACTTTTATCCTACAGTTAGAATCTCTTCATAATATTTTATATTTTATCTTTAGCATTTAGTTGCCTTAAATTCTGTTCTCTCTCTCCTTCCATCCCTCCGTTTTCTCTTTTTCCATACCCACTTGATGGATAATAAACTGTTCATCCTACTTTAGTTCTCTGAGGTTTTCTGGTTTAAAGAATGATATAAATGCCCTAAACATGTTTAAACTAAAGCAGCAAAGATTTAGAGGAAGGTGAACAACACAAAGTTGACCATGAAGTTTTGTGATTTAATTATTCCTTTATTTTTTATTAAGTAAAAATGCTTTGACTTCTATAACTTTTTTGTACACATGTTTTTACTAAAGTTGGCCTCATAGTTATACCTTCTTTACAAACACTTTTGCTTGAGATACTTCTTTTTAAAACCTTCTGAAATAGACTTTATCTGTTTTAGAGATGAATTTTGAACAGACTTTTCAGTGATTTCTGTATGACATAACTATGAGAAAACCTGCTTTAGGAGAGACCCTCACATTAGTAATGTTGTAGCAAATTTGTTCTAGAGTTTCCTCTGTGTGGGAAATAAGGAATACCCAAAACAATAATGGGACAGATTCAAAAAGGACAATTAGGTAGATTAAGTTTTGTTTTTTAGTTTTTCTTACCTTCTATTTGTATATATGAAATATAGCATCCATTCCCAAAAGAGCTATGTGCAGGGTGGGGCAAATGTGGGTTTATAGTTGTTTGGATGGAAAACAATACATAATTAATAAATAAAAATACAAGAATAAATTCTATGTTTCTTATACTCACAACTGTAAACCTACTTTTGTTTCACCTTGCATATCACTGAGGTCCTCCGTGTGCCCTTCCCCAGTCACTGAGAAGAGATGGTAACAGATGTACCAACACATTAGGAACCTTGCTTTTATTTTATTTAAATGTTGTTGAATAAGTTTATTAGCTAAGAAAACAATGCTTAACTTTAATGTAGTCAGAACTAAGGAAATTTAGGTCTGTTTGATACTCATTCACCTAAGACAATTAGAAATAAACTTTTAAAAAATATATAAATATAATTTTTATTTTTCCCCCAGCCATAATCTGACATACTGAGAATCTAATAACTTTAGGGTTAAAGGCAAACTAGTTTAAAAAATAGTTATTGCTTAGATTTTGTTTTTTAGTGTACTGTGCATTGATGAACTACTAAAAAAATACCTTATTGTAGAGTCAGTATAAATAATATTCCAGTTTTTATCTTCTTTCATCTGATTTAATTTATTTAGAGGAATAGAACAAGTGAGAAGGCTTATGGATAACTGAAGAAGCCAGAGACTGATGTTTTTAATGTCTAATATTGACCTAGCTAAAATGAGGATACTTTTTAAATCACATCCTTTTTTTCTCTTAAGAAAAAGTTAAAAGTTAAGTTGATATGTTGATTTTTAATAAAATTGAACACTTGTTTTTTAAAAGACAAATCAAGAATATACTAAATTTTGTGTGTTTTCTTAAATTTAAGTACCTTCTGCTTTCAGTAATGGCTGTGTAACATTTTTTATAACAAAGTCACAACATATTCCTTCTGCCCCCCAAAAAAGCATGACTATGAGTTATGAAAATAGCTTTGGTGACTAGAAGGAATTTGGAAGGTACAGATGAGAACTTTCATTTACAGAGACTAAAAGTGGGTTTGTTTGTTCTTTTGCTTCCAGATTTTGCACTTCAGCTGCTGATATGAAAATTAGATTGTTTACGTCAGATCTTCAAGATAAAAATGAATACAAGGTATGCTTGAAAAGTATAATTTCTAAATTTATAGTTTATTTTAAAACATTATTTCTTGCTTTTTAAAATTAGATTTATCCTAATTTAAGATGATTTTTTATGGTCATCTTTAAAGTATGTGATTTAGGGTCTCGTTTACTCTATTTTAGGCTAAGTATCTAGGTTCTTAGTAAGGATTGCAGAATATAAATCTGATATCACTGATTAAATTAAAATATTAGGTTGGCACAACAAATGAGGGAGAATTCGAAGTTCACAGTTGGTATATAGTAGGAGTATAATGGACATGAAGACATATAGAGTCCCAGTAAAACTTCAAAGAAACAGTCATTACAGCATAGTGCAAGGCAGGGTTACAAATTTGTTAAGAGCACAGACACAAGGTCAAACCGCCTGAGTTTGAAGCCCAACTCTACCACTGTAATAACAGTATGACTTTAGTCACTTTCCTAGTCTCTATGTTTATTCCCTTACCTGTAAAATAGGGATAATCATAGCATCTGCTTCATAGAATTATGGGCTAATTCGTATAAAACACTTAGAACACTGCTTTGTACACTGTAAGCCCTATATGTGAGTTTTCTATTGTAAGAAATAGTTCTGTAAAATAAGTCAGACAGAGAAAGACAAATACAGTTGACCCTTGAACCATACAGGTTTGAACAGCATGAATCCATTTACATGTGGCTTTTTTTCAATAAATATCTGTACTATTTTCGATCCATAGTTGGGGGTGCACTGATGTGGAGGGCAACTGTTTGCATTGACCTATACCATTTTATATAGAGGACTTGAGCATTTTCAGATTTTTGTATCCACAGGGAGTCCTGGAACCAACCCCCAACAGATACTGAGGGTAGTTAAGTTTTGGGGGAGTCAAGATTTTTGATTGCTCAAGGGGTTAGCACTCCTAACCTCCACGGACTAGTGTATATCATGGTGAGTATAATTAACAACTCTGTATTAGATACTTGAAAGTTGTTAAGGGTAGATCTTAAACGTTCTCACCACGAAACAAAAGTGGGCCCTGGCAGGTGTGGCTCAGTTGATTGGAGCATCCTGGCTTTCAGGATCGATCCCTGTCAGGGCACATATGGGAGGCAACCGATCGATGTTTCTCTCTCACATAGATGTTTCTCTCTCTTTCTCTGCCTCTCTCTCTCTCTGCCTCTCTTTCTCAAAAATCAATAAAAACATATCTTCAGGTGAGGTGAGGGTTAAAAAAAAGTTAATGTACTCGGATTAATAGACATTAAAATTAAATATTAATTTAGTTTGTCGTGTACACTGTGGCATAAGCTTTGACGAATGTTTAGAGCATTTGAGTTTGTTAAAGTTACACAAAAATATTTAAATCAAAATTTTTTCTTCATGATATATTTCTAAATAGCAGTTCAAAATAGAAGCACTCTATTAAAACAAAGATCACATGTGAGCTTTTGAAAGAATGGAGGGAGAAAGAACAATAGTCATTAAAATACTGAACCTTGCTGACTCACATAGTGCTCCACCTTGTACCTTCCCCTTTGTTCCTTCTGTAGCCAGAAACAAACCTGTGGGTTGTTGTGACTGTGAGCTGGTAATACTGCTATCTCCAGTGCTGGCAGTCACACTGAACAAGTTAATGAAGACCTTAGAATGTAAAGTTCATCCTCTGTGTTTATTAGGCAGCAGCAAGTGTGCAGGGCAGTAGGTATGAAATAAATAGTTGAGGGGGACTCCTAACTCAAGCCCCTAGAAAGTTCCAGCTTTAATTTTTATTTAAACTTTATGTAATAAGTGAGAAAGGAGGTGACCTGAGGACAGGTACAATAAAAAAATGGTGTTTTTGTAAGAAATGCATACTAGAAAAGAAAGATTAAGCTAATAGCAGTGTGTTGAATAATCAGCTTCTTTCCAAGAAAAACCTTCAGAAAAGTGGGTGTATAAATCATGCTTTAAAAATAGCAGATTGCTAAGAAATATTTATGGAAAAGAGAAGCATGCAGTGAAAGCTTTTAAGGCAGTGAAGTAAAAATATTAGGTAGGAATAGTGTAGATTTTTTTCCTGTGTTCTTATTAATTTTTCCTCTTATGTCAGGTTTTAGAGGGCCATTCAGATTTCATTAATGGTTTGGTGTTTGACCCCAAAGAAGGCCATGGAATTGCAAGTGTGAGTGATGATCATACCTGCAGGTATGTTGCTTATGGTACAAGCACATTTTAAAAATGTTTAATAAGAATTACATTTTAAAAATTAGAGAAAATATAACTTCTATAGATACTTCATTTAAATTGTAAGTATGACACAAATGTGAGTTTCAAAACTGGTGAGTTAAGTTATCATCCCAGTTTTGGAAACATCCCTTACTGATTCATGGGTGCCTCTCTCCCTCTTATTTTATATCTGAACATCTATGAAATCTAATTATATAGGATCAAATTCTCCAATTATGGATAAGATCAGTAGGATAATAAAAGGCAGTTGCCATATTGTGACATTATTTCACAGATCCTGTCCGGTAAGTCATTGTTTAATAATTGCAAATTTCATTTGTTAAAGCAAGACTCATGGGAAAATAGTGTTTTGACAAATTTGAAAGTCTCTATTTAAGCTTTTCTGTATATTTAGCACATTTCAGTGTCACATTCTTCCATCCCACCCCCGTTTGGAACAGATAAGGTAGCTATAGCATTTTAATAATGCCTAAAGCTGGAGCATATCACAAGTAAAAAAACAAGACGAAGAGCCAGAGTAGGAGGTGGAAATAGGCTGTGGAGGCAGGAGTGAATAAGTGAATCAGTCATGACAGGAGTGCCAATTGCTTCTTCTTTCAACAGCACTGTGAGAAAAAGAAAAACACACTGTGCTGCTGTTTTACGTAGTTTTAATTTTTGATCAGGCTGTGACAAAATCAATAGTATTTATAAACACTTGTACACAGACAAAACTATCAAATATGTGTCCTTTCACATTGGAAGTAAAGCCACTATCTACTTTTTAAATTTTAAGCTTTGTAATAGCTCATCTTTTTAACGTTAGAGTCATAGGCCATTATTCTTTTTGATCTGCCTGTTAAAATTTTCACATCAGAGATATGAAAGATTTACATGACCCCAAGTATTACAAAACCAAGTTTATATATAGATCTGAGGAGTAAATAGAACTATTTTTAAGATAAAAGTTAAATCACTAGAAATAAGTAGTGACATTTTATTTCTCTAAAACTAGACTTTCCTAATCCCAACCATTTGGGGTAATGATACCTGAGAAGGGAGAAAATGAGTGTCTTTGCAGGCCAAGGAGTAGCCTCTGAATAGTGAATAAGAGCCAGACAGACCTGGGATTACATTCAATGGTCTGTGAATTTTTTTTTTCTCTTGTAGACTTTTAGATTTTTTTGGACTAGTAAAATTGTCCTAAAATTTTGGGGGACTGACACAGGGTTTCCAACTTTTTATTTTGTTAAGTAATAAGAATTTTTAGAGTTCTACTGCCTTCAATTACCATAATTTTATGAAAGAAAGAACATTATTACTTTAAAAAGGACAAAGGGCTTAACTTCAAAGTGAAGTTAGACTTAATAAATTTAACTTTTTGAAAACTCACTATGTTGCCCCTAATTGTCTTATTTTGCTGGTCTGTGATTTATGATGTTACTGTTCAGCAAATACTTGCTCCCCTTTCCCCCGCCCCCGTGGAAGGAGGAGATTTTTCCCATTCTATTGGGTGTACCCATGTGACTTGTTTAGGCCAATGTAATATTAGCAGGTCTGACACAAGCAGACACTTTAGATGTTTTATTTGGTTTGTCTTGACCTTCTGTCCTCTCTCTTTGCTATAAGATGAGCATGTCCTAGATACCTACTGACCTAGAAGAGAAACACATGGAGCAGATATGTACCCCGCTGGTATTATGAAATAAAGTTTCCCACAGACCCAGGAGCAAGAAATGTATGCTTGTTTTTGTAAGCCACTAAGATTTGGGGCTTGATAACATCATTTTATCTAGCTGTGGAGCTAAATTTAGAATTCATTAACTTAGTCTGCCAACTAGAAGTAAATAACAGTCCTGATTGACTATTAAAGTCAAACTTCTTGGGCCAAAAGGTAAGCAATATAGCTAAGATTTTTAAAAGAAAAAGAAGATACAAGTAAGTCAAGGAGTTTAAAGTAAGGAAGAGAAGTAAGTATCATACACTCTGACAGTAAGAAAGGAAAGAAGTTATTCTGATGGGACAAACTACAATAGAAAGTTGTCTCAGTACAACTATCTACATTAACTCAAAGTATAGAATTGCCAAGTTACGAGTAAAGACAGCAGCCAACTGGCAACTGAAATTTGGGCAAAGGAAATAGCCATTTTCATCCCAGGGATCATTCTTATCACTGCACTAAAGTAATGCCTCCTGCTCTTGCCGGTTTCACTCAGTGGTTGGTGCATCAGCCTGCAGATTTGCAGGGTCCTGGGTTGCAGGCTTGATCCCTGGCCCCATTTGGGCACATGTGGGATGCAACCAATCAATGTCTCTCTCTCACATTGATGTTTCTCTGTCTCTTCCCCAAAAAATCAATGGAAAAAATATCCTCTGGTGAGGATTAACAAAAACAACAACAAAATAATGTCTCCTACAATCTCAGTCTGCATGTTAATGGAGAAATCCTTACCCAATCATAGCCTGTGTCTTCTTGGGAGTAGTTTTATATGCAGGTGATACAATGCTTAAAAAAGACATGCTAAATAGAATAACTAGACTGAAGGTCAGTAAGGAAGTAGCCATTATGGTAAACAGTTTGGCAGTTCCTCAAAAACCTAAGCATGTGGCCCACCAATTCCACTCCTATAGGTGCAGGTGCATACCCAAAAGAATTAAAAACAGATGTTCAAATAAAAACTTGTAAAGGGATGTTTTTAGCAGTACTATTCACAATAGTCAAAAAGTAGAAACACCCCAAATGTCCATCAGTGAATAAATGGATAAACAAAATGTGGTATATCATTGAAATATTATTCAGCTATAAAAATGATTGAAGAGTA